TGGAAAAAGAGTTAATTATGGTCTAAGAGGATCGTATGAAACGCGTTGTAATGCTGCAGCAGTCGCATTTAACACTGGCAAGCCTATAAGTCATTTAAGTAATGTTTTTAGAACAAAACCAGGGGAAATAGCAGTGCATTTGGAAAATGAGAAAAAAGAAGTGCACGTGACACTAGAAAACGATCAACACCGCAACGTTATGTAAAATGTACAGTAGCTGACAAAGATTATGGGCCGCAGGCTGATAAACCTGATGCAACATTAGCCGAAATAAAATTGAGAAAAGCGCAACATATGCATATGCTACGAGATTGGCAATTAAAACGAGTAACAATAGAAGAAGAAACTAATGAGCAAGTAGCAAGCGGCATTTGGCGATATTATCGCACAAAAATAATAACCGCTTCTCACTTTGGATACATATGTAAAATGAGAAAAAGTATTTCTTGTGTGTATTAAGAGTAAAATCAATCATATATCCACAATATTTGAATGTGGAAGCAGTGCAACACGGAACAAAATACGAGGGTATTACACGCAAAAGTACCAAAAGTGCACTAAATATTAATATTCAACGTTACGGGTTATTTAGAGATTCCGAAATACCATTTTTAGGCGCTTCGCCAGATGGATTAATAGGAGATGATGGAATTGTAGAAATAAAATGTCCTTTTGCAGCACAATTTTTAACATCAGAAGATGCGATTACAGCAAATATGTCAAATCTGCAATCGTTACATAAGAATGGAAAAGATAAAGAAATGAAACGCAGTCACGTTTACTATTGTCAAATACAAGGACAATTACATATTACACAGCGAGAGTATTGCATCTTTGCATTATGGACACCATTTGGATTAAAAATGGAAAAAATTATACGTGATGATAGTTTCTGGTCTAAAAATATAGTTACTAAACTAGTGCAATTTTATGAAGACTGTGTTTTACCAGAATTACTTGATCCAAGACTGGAAAGAAATATGACAATTGGAGACCCAGATTATATAACTGAAGCAAAAAGACAAAAAATGATGGAGAAAAAAAGATAAAAAAATAGATTATTATGTGAAAATAAACAAATTATGTTGAAAAAGGCACATAAGCATTGGAGTAGAAAATAATATCAAAATATATTCTGCACTAGCCGCAGTAATTTCTATCAAAATGCATTCTGCGCTGAGCGCAGTGATTACCTATCAAAATGCATTTTCTGCGCTGGGCGCAGTGATTAATATTAAAATGCATTCTGCGCTGAGTGTAGTCTATCATAGACAAATGAAATGTATGTACAATTCTACTCATCTACTTGCATTCTGCGTTGAGCGCAGTGAAATTTATAAACGACAAAAAAAGATATATATAGTCATAGACAAATATACATAAAAATACAAATCGTGCAAATTACCCATATATACATATGGGTGCATTTATATCTTGCTGTTAGAGTTCAAATTATCAATTCTCTAATGGGTAGGTAAAGGTCGATTTGTAAATTTTCAGAGTGGCGTGAATCTTGCGCCTGGCGCCCAATTAAACATAATTTTCGGTATCTACGCGAATTTCCCGCTTTCCGCGCCGAAGGTGTACTGTCGGCCACTTACATCGGCCCTATTTCTCGGATCATTATCGATCCGACGGACTAAAATAAATCCACGGTTACAATATATATATATATATATATATATTAATTATATATATGTATATACATATGTACATATATATATACACATATATATATATATATTAAAAATATTATTTTGGTTTTTTTTCAATAATACGTAGAAAAGTAATATAAACACCAATACATGAAACTCAGATTTTATTTTTCAGTTGGAGACAATGACGACAATCAAAAATTGTATACAACGACTTACCACATGAGTTAATTATTACCATGCAATTGTATGATCAATGATAAGTCGTTGCATATAGTTCTTATTCCTACCGTAGTGCTTTTACTCTTATGTCGCCACCGTCAATTCAGAGTTTCACGGCGAGTACTCAGGAGCCTTAAATATATTTTTAAAAAATCACAAAAGCGAAATTTTGCCAGCAAAATAAAAAAAAAGTAATATTATTATATAGTTGCGGCAACGTTGCATTTTTTCAAATACATTACATTGCAATGTTGCTATAATGTTTCATTGCAATTTTACAAAAGCGACCATCCAGCCGTTGCCGCAATCTTGCAGTAATATTGCGAAAACAATTCGCAATTCCCATGCAATATTACAATGACCCCCTTTTACACTGTTAAATCAGTTGATACGCGTATCAAGTTGGTGCGGACTAAACATTTGATACCTCCCTGTTTACACCGATCTATCTCAAAACAGATTAAGTTAGGTTTTTAGTCTAGATAAAGTCTAATGTTTTCGGTGGAGTGACAAGTCTACTTCTTCTTTTGTGAATCGATCAATTTTATAAAAATAATGGAGAGAGAACAAATTCTAGCGTTATATATAACATTATTCGAAATTTTAAATGTGCAGCAAGAAGCCAGAAGAAAACGTCTCAAGAATACCATATAATGAAACATATGAGGATAAAATTAAGAAAATTATGCCTTCAACAGAGGAATGAATTGCTTGTGCAATGAAGTCAAATGACTAATCCTAAATCACCGACTCTTATTTTAGATAGTATTCAATGCCAAAGAAGAATGTGAACCAAAGAGAGAAGTAATGATTTTTGGCAAAGAATCGTAGGAGATTATTTCACTCTGTCAGATTGGCTGACCACTTTTCGAATGTCGAAAAAAACTTTCACAACGCTTTGTGACATTGTTCAAACTGAATTAGAACCCAAGCCTCTTTTCTTAGTATCCAGACAGCCTTTATCTGTCGAAAAACAGGTCGCAATAGCTCTGTATAAATTAGCGAATTGTGCCGAGTACAGAGTTGTTAGTGATGGGTATTCACAAATCGACAGTTCGATAGTCCGATAGTGTGCAGCGAGTTGTGCCGAGTACAGAGTTGTTAGTGATGAAATTTTTTTGTTTGATTTAATAATGAGTTTGATTATATTTTTATGTAATATTAATATAAAATATTTTATGAATTTTAGACATCTAAAAACATTGATGGTATGGATATACCATATATGATTGTAGGTGACCAGGCTTATCCTATGTTACCATGACTTATTAAAGGTTATTCAGGCTCATTATCAGCAGAAGAAGAGTCTTTTAATGTATATTTGAACTCTGCGCAAATTTCGGTGCATTTGGCATTTGGTCGATTAAAAACCAAATGGAGGATTTTATGCAAAAAATAAGATTGTGCTTATACATTTTCTCCTTAAATCATTCTTGTTTGCTGTACGTTGCACAATTTTGTAGAAAATCACACCTCGGAAACAACTAAAGAGATAATTCACACACAGAAACAAATAAAGAGATAATTGTTCGTCTTCATTTGTTTTTTGACAATCTCTTACCAGCAGTTCAGCGAGTCTCACTCAGCGAGATGCTTGAGTGTGAGTCATATTTAAAGGGCGATTTAAAAGGCAAGATTTTCTCTGGATTTTTTCTAGGCCTCGACAATTACTTTATTACAAGAATGGAGCAAAGTCAGCAAAGGTACGTGCCAAATTTTAATAAGACATTGGAGGGAATTTTTTTTGCTTCCATTTATAATAAAACCACCCCCCGATGGGTTCCCACCTTGACGAAGTCCCGCGGCTGATGGGGTGGGGGGGTCTGGGGCGGAAGGATATCACCCGTTCAGAGGTGTGACCGACTAGCCTGGGCCCCCCTGGCTCGTCCGGCTGCTGGGACGGGTGGAGGAGCTTGAGGGGGCGCGCGGGGGCCGCTCGCTCAGGAGATGGCAACCGTGTGCGCCGGACAAAGCGGAACCTCCCCAAGCTAAAGTGTGTGCAACCGTGCTGAGGGCTGCATGGCGTAAGGGGAGTTACGTCGCTAATGGTGCCTCTCGGATACCGGGCGACCTTCGAGAGTATCGAGCCAAGCCCTGGGCATTCGCGGCTCTGCCCAGGTGAAACCGCGCGGCCGCGGTACTCGTGGGAACAAATATGAGTACAAGCCAGAATGATAACTTTTCGGAAGTCCTACAGGGCGTGGCCACCTTAGATGACGAACGACCTGGAGGAGAAAGCCCGAGCAATTCGGGGGCGGAGCCAAATAAGGCCCAGCCACCAAATGCTAGGGTTCGTTATAGCGGAGCGGCAAGGCGACGCTATAGAAAACAGAAGCAGATGGAGGCGAAGGGGGAAGCTGCAAAGCCCACCTCGGAACTGACATCTGTTTCGACAGTTACTCCAAGGACGGGGGAGCGAGCTTCTTCTGGGGCGGTAAAGCGACTCAGATCGGAGCATAGCACACCCAGCCCTGCCAGTAACACTCAGTTGGGCAAAAGGCCGAAAGTCGTAACTGACCAAAGGACTTTTGCCCAATTGACCTCCGGTCTTGTAAGGGTTGCCCTGGTTCTTTTGGCGTACCCTGACAAAAGACTGGAAAAAAACGAGGCATCGCTTTTGAAAGAAACGGTCAGGAGGCGTATCCTTTGCTTAGCAAGGGGTACCAAAGCGCCTACTTTTAGAGGCACCTCGGATAGGGATGGGGCAGTTGTCTTTAACTGCACAAATAGGGAAACTGAGGAGTGGCTTAGAAGCCTAACCTCAGAAATTAAGATCAATGGGATCGAACTGCGTGCACTGCGGGTCGATGAGCTCCCTAAGAGACACCGAATCGTAGTGCACGTAGAGGATCCCACAATACCTGTCAAGGAAGCGTTGGAGCTACTTGACAGGCAGAACGTAGGCATCCAGTCACCGGACTGGGTGATCGCGAAGGGTAGCGAAAGCAGGGACGCCACGAGCACCCACTTCGCTGCCCTTGTTGGGGATGGGGCTTTGAGGGCGTTAAGAGCTCTCAATTTTAAACCCTACTGTGGACTTGGGCAGGCAACGATCAGGTTGCCTGCTGGAGAAAGCAGTAAGGAAGGCGCAAAGGAGAAATCACCGGACCCGTCAGCATAAATATGGCGGACCGGATTCACTTTACGCAGATTAACTTGCATCACAGCAAATGCGCCTCGGCTGTACTAGCCAGGTGCGCAGCAGTGATGCACACAAGTAAATACATATTTTTAATACAGGAACCATGGATCATCAAGGGACATATAAAAGGACTTGGCAGCTGTGGAAAACTATTCTGGGCCGGAAACACGGACCGACCGAGAGCGTGCATTATAGCGAAAGGAATAGACGCCTGTCTACTGCCACAATTTAGCGATGGCGACTTTGTTGCCATCAGACTGAAAATAAAGACGACCGGTGGAATAGTCAGGGATCTAATTATAGGGTCAGTGTACATGCCCTACGATTTGGAAAACCTGCCCCCACATGAAAACGTGATTAAACTCACGACTTATGCAAGGCAGAAAGGGCTAGAAATACTCCTGGGATGCGATGCCAACTCGCACCATCTGGTGTGGGGGAGCACCGACATAAATCCCAGGGGTGAGAGCCTATTCAACTTTGTGGTAGGTATGGAGCTACACATCCTGAATAGAGGAACAGAATCTACCTTCCTGGACTCTAGAAGACAAGAAGTGATAGATATAACCATATGCTCTGGCGGAATATTGGACCTGTTGAGGGGATGGAGGGTCTCTGATGAGCCCTCAGGATCAGACCACAGGCAGGTCCGTTTCACCATGGAGCAAGTACAGAGCCAAGGGTTATGGAAGAGAAATCCTAGGAAAACAAATTGGAGGGGGTACGAGGAAGACCTTAGGAGTCGACTCAAGGAAACACCCACTAGATTCCACACAAATGAAATGTAAATACACCGAGAACCTGGGAGGAGTACAGGAAATCTCAGAGAATTTACAAAAAGGCCATAGTAAAAGCTAAAAGGAAAGGATGGAGAAGTTTTTGCTCAAGTATAGAGAGTGCTCCTGAAGCATCTAGACTGAGTAGAATACTCTGGAAGGAAAACCAAACACAATGGGGCTGCCTTAAGCTTCCCAATGGAGGGTACACAGAAACTGCGGAGGAGACCCTACGGCACCTCATGGAAATCCATTTCCCAGGCTTTAGGGAGGACTCAGCAGACAACAACAACAGGCAGAGACCCATGACCGTGCACAAATCAAGGGCATGGGGACTGGCAGCTAAAGTGGTCTATCCGCAAGCAGTGGAATGGGCGGTCGGTTCCTTCGAGCCTTTAAAGGCTCCAGGACCTGATGGAATATACCCGATCCTGCTGCAGAAAGGGCTGAGCAGCTTGTTAGGCCCAATGACAAAAATCTACAGGGCAAGTATTGCCCTCAGACATGTCCCCCAGAAGTGGAGAGAAACCAAGGTGGTTTTTATACCTAAACCTGGCAAGAACGGTCACGTCAGGGCAAAGGACTATAGACCAATTAGCCTTATGTCCTTCGTATTGAAGACCTTAGAGAGACTGGTGGACAGATTTCTCAAGTCCAACTCTCTAATACAACAACCTCTAGCCGACTCTCAGTACGCTTACAGGGAGGGCAGGTCTACCGAAACCGCCCTACATCACCTGATAGGCAAAGTTGAGAGTCAGCTGGAGGCAAAGGGCTATGCGATTGGAATCTTCCTGGACATCGAGGGCGCTTTCGATAGCACTTCACACGAGGTGGTAGGGAAAGCACTGATCAGACATGGAGTACAAGAACCACTGGTGGACTGGATAGAAGACATGCTAGTGGACAGATGCTTGACGGTGGAGTGCCAAGATATCTCCATCAAAGGAAAACCAACGAGAGGCTGCCCACAGGGGGGAGTTTTATCTCCTCTGTTGTGGTGTCTAGTGATAGACGACCTGCTAAAGGAGCTACAGAGGAAAGGTTTCTCGACCTTTGGCTATGCTGATGACGTGGCCATTGTGGTTAGAGGACCATTTCTCAACACACTAAGGGACCAAGCAAAGGATACCTTAAGGATTGTGCAAAACTGGTGTGAGAACAGAGGTCTAACGGTTAATCCGAGCAAGACAAATATTATGGTCTTCACCAGAAAATATAAACCTGAACCCATAGAGACGTTAAAACTCTGGGGAAAGGAAATACCGTTTACAGACTCGGTGAAATACTTGGGACTGATTCTAAATCCTAAGCTTAGCTGGGGAAAACATCTCATAGAGCAAAGGAAAAAGTTCTATGCATCCATGTGGATGTGCAGAAGGGCAATGAGCAAGTCGTGGGGCATCAGCGCTGGTGCAGCATTATGGCTGTACAGGGCGGTCCTGCTGCCGCGGCTGCTATACGCGTCAGTCGTCTGGTGGACGAGAATAAATAAAGGGGAGGTGGAGAAACTACTTAGAAGCCTGCAAGGTAACTACCTAAGGGCTGCAGTAGGGGCCATAAGAACCACACCCACAGAGGCGCTTGAAATAGCACTCAGTGTTACGCCAATAGGCTTGGCCGTGATAAAATCAGCCAATACCACGGCATACCGCCTGAAATGTCAGGGTGAATGGAGAAACACAGGACTGGGACACACCAGGCTAAGTCTTCTCCAAAAGTACCCTATTGAGGGAAAACAAGACAGAACCACAAGAAAGTATCAACTGGTAAAACATTTTAAATTATGGATACCTGATAGAAACGAGTGGCTGAAACCGGGCGGGATCATGGACACAAAGGTGGACATGTGGTTCACGGACGGGTCAGGCATAAACAATTGCTTTGGAGCAGGAGTATATGGACCTGGGGAAAACCATAGGGAGAGTATTCCAATGGGAGGCGACTGCACGGTCTTTATGGCAAAGATGCTCGCCATCCTCAGATGTGCCGAACTGAACCTAACCAAGGGAACAAATTGCAGGAAAATATATATCTGCACGGACAGTAGGGCAGCCCTTCTGGCGTTGGCGGGTGCGACCACCGAGTCATACTTGGTATGGGACTGCATGCTGGCGCTGGAGGAGCTGTGCAGAAAAAACAAAGTAACGTTAGTCTGGGTACCCGGGCATCAGGGCATACCGGGAAACGAAATAGCAGACTCACTGGCTAGAGAAGGGGCTAGCAAAGCACCAGATAGTCGGGAGATGGGAGTGCTCTTTACGATGGGCAAGAACTTCATCAGGGACAGTATAGACAAACTACATAAGGCCAGGTGGGATAATCTGAAATCCTGCCGACAGGCTAAATTCCTGATGAAAGACATAAATGGTAACAGAACCAAAGAACTACTTACACTGAATAGGCAGAAATTGAGGATAGGGATAGGACTGCTGACAGGACATTCACCAATACTCAAAGCCCACCTATTCAATATCAGACTTGCAGACAGGAAGGAGTGTCGACTATGCGGGGAGGAAAAAGAGGACAGCATACATATTCTGTGCCAATGTCCGGCTCTGGCTAGAAAGAGATTCAGGATCTGGGGACAAAGTTTTCTTAAATCTCAAGAATTAGACAAAACAAGGGTGGTGGAACTCATAAGCCTAGTGGAGAACTCTGGGCTGAGTACACATCACCCAGTTTAAAGACAAGAGTGAGGAGACACAATGGATCTCGCCAGATCTAGGTGCCGTCGGGGGCCAAGTCATGGAACCACTCACTTACTATTTACTACTACTACTACTATAATAAAACCACCTGTCTTCTGTGTGGTTATCAACCAAATGTTATGAAAAAATTTAATCTTCAAAGACATTATAAAGTTAAACACTTTAATAAATATTTGCAATGTGGACGAGGAGAAACATAATTTAATTGAAGGTTTAAAATTAGTTTATCAAGAAGGTTGTAGTTCCAAGGATTATACGGAAAATACTACACCTTCAGTAAAAGCTGTGACAGCGTCGTATGCGATTTCAAATTTAATCGCAAAAAATTCGAAACCGAGCTATATAGAGGCTATATAGAGTATATGTAAGCAGAGAAAGGTATAGAATCGAAGGGTCTGAATAGCTCAGTTGGAAGAGCAGTCGCCCGGCAAGCGAAAGGTTTCGGGTTTGATTCCCGATTCAGCGACTTTCGGATCTATATTTTTCTCTCGCATTTAATTATTTATTTTGATAGGGGGTCAAGGGGTTTTTGAAATAAAATCTCAAGTAAGAGATTATTTCAATTTTCAAAGTCTTGGTTAGTACATCAAGAGTAATATGTGCCTTGTGCATGTTTCCATAGCAATATCCGCGTTTAGCTCTTCACGCCTTCTTACGATTTAGTTTTATATTAAATATCCTGTTATACATTGTATTATACATCAAGAAGCGTTATGTGGGAAAGTTGTGAAATTATGCAATGCCATGCAAACCGTCACAAAAATTGTTAATACAATTAAAGGCAGTCATAAATTCCTATCTCATCGGAAATTTCAACTCTTTCTCGAGGAACATAACGCAACATATACAGATGTGCCTCTGCATTGCAAAGTTTGGTGGCTCAGTGCAGGAAAATGTTTAGAAAAGTTCTTTGCATTGAGAAAAGATATCTTCCTTTTCTTACAAGAACAATGTTCAGCAAAATATAAAGATAAAAAACTCTCCTCAAAGTTAAAAGTCGACCAGACTAGCAATAATTTATTATAAATAATTAGTTAAAATACAACGTTTCGGCTGTCATTGCAGCCCTTTTCAAGTAAATCTATAAAAAGTTACATAAAAATAATTATACGTTTAATACACTTTATCGCTACAAATAATTATACATTCAAAAACCAAAAATATGTTACATACCAAATTAATACAGTAATTCAACTTCGCTGCAAACTACCGACAATATTAACCATTGTTTTGATGAACAATGTAAAACTGACAGAAGTTAGCACAAAATAAATAGATGTTGACTGTTAGCAAGAATCTTAGTCACTACGCGTTAAGAAAATAGAGAACAACGTGTCGGATCACATTAGTTGACACATTAGTTTTGTTTTCTATTTTCATTATCCTCGCTGATGCGGATTAATTCTTCTAAAATTTGTGGATATTTCATTCCTAGTAGAATCGTGTAAACGACCCAGAAGATCTAAATAAAATTCTTACTTTTAATTATTTTTTTTCTATTTTTTCATAATATTGTTTTTCTGCCAAGCCACCGCACTTTTTATTATTTTCAGTGGAATAGGCCTACTGGGGAAACCACTATAAAAAAACGCATCTGCAATAGTACCTCACGGGTGATGTGGAAAACTATTGTTGTCAAGATTATAATTATTAAATATTATTTTTAATATTTATATTATTTCTATTATTAATATAATTATAAATGTAATCTATAATATATATACGTATACAATATATATACATGTATTTAAAAGAAATAAATATTGTAGGCCAACTAAACGAGCAAAATTACATAAGATATAAAGATTTATTAATAATTAAATTCTCATTCCATTAGAGAGACAATATACAACGTAAACGTTTCGGTTTGCACTACAGTTTTCTTCAACACATAAAACTCAAATATTAAAATACAAAGTTAACGATTCTTCGCTGATGAACAATGGATAAGACGATTGGTCTGAGATTCCAAGTTTTGCGACATTTAATCATGCTGTGGAGATTTTACGCGAATTAATTAATATTAGAGAAAATTGAAAAATCTTTCACACTACATTATCGTTTTAACAAGTTCTTCTTCTCGAAATTTCAAATGTGTGTTGCAGAGTCTAAATAACAAATGTCAAAGTAGAGAGATTAAATGTCGCAAAACTTGGAATCTCAGACCAATCATCTTACTTATCCATTGTTTATCAGCGAAGAATCGTTAACTTCGTATTTTAATATTTGAGTTTTATGTATTGAAGAAGACTGTAGTGCAGTCGAAACGTTTACGTTGTATATTGTTTTTCTAATGGAATG